ACAGGTGAGTGACCTGTTGTTCTTCTTCGTGGCCTCGGTGAATCACACCCTGGGTGGCTAACAAGCTGTCTCACCCGGAGAAGGGTGTCACGTCAAGGTAGAGGATAACACAGCATGTCCAAAGGCCGCATCAGATTTCTGCCAAACGTCCAATTTGTAGTGCTTGATAAATGTGGATGGCTGTGACCATGTGGCAGAGGTGCAGATGTCCAGAAGGGGAACGCCATAAAGAAACACCACAGATGCCACCATCCTAGTATACTTCTGTTAATGCAGCCTAAAATAGCATTTGCTTTTTTTGTAGCCACATCACACTGTTGGCTCATATTCAGCTTGTGATCTATAACAATTCCAAGATCCTTTTCACTTGTAGCATTGCTGAGCCAGGTATCTTGCATCTTGTAACTATGCATTTGGTTTCTTTTCCTGAGGTGCAGTACTTTGCGCTTCTCTTTGTTGAATTTCATTTTGTTGTTTTGAGCCCAGTGCTAAAGCCTATCTAGATCACTTTGAATTTTGTTTCTGTCTTCCAGGGTATTAGCTATTCCACCCAACTGTGCATCATCTGCAAATCTGACAAGCATTCCCTGCACTCCCTCATCCAAGTCATTAATAAAAACGTTGAAGAGCACTGGACCCAGGACTAAGCATTGGGGTACCCCACTTGTTATCTCCTTCCAGTTGGAGAAGGAGCCACTGATCATCACCCTCTGAGTATGATTCTGTAGCCAATTGTGTATCCACTTGATACTTGATCTATCCAGCCCACACCTAGTTAGCTTGCTAATCAGAATATCATGGGGCACTTTGTCAAAAGCTTTGCTGAAGTCAACATATACTATGTCTGCACCATTCCCTCTATCAGGAGGTTACCCAATCAAAAAATGAGATCAGATTAGTCTAGCAAGATTTGTTCTTGAAAAATCTGTGTTGGCTTCTAGTTATTACTGCATTGTTTTCTAGGCACTTGCATAGTGACCCTTTTATAATTTGTTCCAGCAATTTCCCTGGGATTGACATCAGGCTGACTGGCCTGTAGCTCCCAGGTTCCTCTTTTCTGCCCCTTTTGAATTCAGGAACAACATTAGCCCTCCTCCAATCATCTGGCACCTCACCCGTTTCCAATTATTTCAAGAAAATAATAAACAGTGGTTCTGAGAGTTCGTCAGCCAATTTCCTCAGTACTCCTGCATGCAGTTCATCTGGCCCTCATTCAAGGTGGTAAGGTAATTCTTTGACTATTTATCAATCTCCAGCTGCAATCCTGTCCCCTCCACCTGCACTTCACATTTGTCTGGAGATTCATAGTCTGTCCTTTGGGAAAAGACTGAGCTAAAATATGAATTGAGCACCTCTGTCGTTTTTTGTTTTTATCATCTGCTATCATTTTTCCATCTCCATTGAGTAGCTGTGCCACTTTTTCTTTTCTTTGTCTTTTGCTTCGCACATACCTGAAGAATTTTTTAATTATTGCTTTTAGTGTCTCTAGCTAATCTCAGCTCATTGCCAGCTTTTGCTCTCCTAATGCCATCCCTCTGTTTCATTGCTTCTTGTCTGTACTCTTTCTTGGTGACCTGGCCTCCTTTCCACCTCCTATATATGTCTTTTTTTTCCCAGGTCCTCGTTGAGCTTTTTGTGAAGCCACACTGGCCTTTTTTGCTGTCTCTCACCATTGTTTTTCTTATTGGAATTGTTTGTAGTTGTGCTTTTAGATTTTTTTTATTATTTTTTTTTAAAGAAACTCCCACCATTCTTAGACTTCTTTTCTTGTTAGGATCTCCTGCCATGGGACCTTACTCATTGTTGTTCTGAGATTATTAAAACTGGCTTTTTAAAAAATCCAGCATGTGTGTGGCTACACTTTGCCAACACAATATCTGTATCTGCTCTATTCTACAATAAAGTAGATAAAGCAGATACACAGCCACTAAGATTAACAAGTACTAAGAGTTGGTTCAGCTCAGAAGGTTGGAGCATTGACCTACAGAACCAGGAACCATGAGTTTATGTCTCCACAGTATCTCTAGTGGGAATAAACACCCTGCTAGTTACGTGGCCTTGGGCATGTTGCAGGATCCCAGAGGGACTGACAAAGCACCTCTGTGTCCTTTATATCTAAAAGTCCTGTGAGAGCAACCGTATGTTGGAACTGACTTGATGGTACATACTTATTATTAAGTATTGGTTGGGACAGAACAAATCTCAACTCATTCTCATAAAAGACACTGAAGAAACAGCCTCTTTTAAGAGAAGGTTCTATAACAAGGCCACTACCATCACCAAGGCTCTATTGCAAGTCTAAAGAATGGAACACAGTGGCAGTGGAATGAACCAGTACTTCAGATATCATGGTCCCTTTATGATCTTGAAGTGGGCTCAAAATCTTGTTTGTTTGTTTGTTTGTCTGTTTAAAATACTTTTACCCCGGCTTTTTCCTTGAAAAGGACCCAGGGCAGCTTACAACATTGAAAGACAATCTTTAAAGCTAAGAACAGTGAGTATAAAGAGGCATATTACATTATTAAAAGGTAATATTAAAGCTAAGAACAATAAGTATAGAAATATTTTTAAACAAATACTACTCTGAGAAATGGAAAGCACAAAAATGGAACACAAATATTACTGTAAATCCAGTCAAAGCAGTAGTGCAAATCTTAAACTGTTTCTCAGAACTGAATCAAAATTCTCATTTAGAATTTGTCATTTAGTTGTTTCCGACTCTTCGTGACCCCATGGACCACAGCATGCCAGGCCCTCCTATTCTGAATTAGTTAGGCCAAATTAATTAATTTATTTAAAATATTCTTAATAAAATATTACTACAATTAGAATAAATCTAGTATAATGTGACCAGAGAAGAAAACACTAGACATTAATCTGGATATAGAATTCTGCATCAGCTGTTGGTTCCAAATTCAACCATTGTCACAGTAATCTAATCTGGGTTTGGCAAGATTTTTTTTTAGAGAAAGAGATGACTGACACACCAGCCAAAACTCAACAAAAGGACTTCTTCCCATAGCAACTGGGTCCTAGCTTTACTTTATGGCCTCAATTTAATAGCAGTCACTGAAAACGCATGACCTGATTTCATTTTCTTGATCACACTATTGTGACAGAATGGCAGAACCAGAACATTTCCCCTTACTTTGACCTTATATAAGGAAGGTCAACCAACCTCTAGAGAGCTACATAATTAAGTCATTCCCAAAGATGGGGTGTGTGAGGTAGGAACCTAAGACAGTTTCCCACTACCTAATATCCCAAAATATTATTTGGCTATTATGCATTAACTGGAACAGAGGCTCCTAAACTCTGCTACATTTGTGGATTTGCTAGTGAGGACACTGCCAATGAGAATATTCCTTAGCTATCATGTAGCAACCAACTTTTTCCACGGCCTTCAGATTATGAAAAATCCGTTCTGCAAATTGGCTTCCTCAATGCATCTCAGAGCTGAACTACACTGCAGTTTATCCCACAGGTTTTCCTGCAACTAGCGTTGTCAATATGAAACTATTTCCAGTCCTTTTTCCTGATCATTCAATACATTTTGCTTGGTCAGCAATGGCTATCATTTTTTGTGTTTATTCCCTATGCATTGCTTTGCTTTGGTTTGTGGGATGTGTGATTGTTTACACTAGTATTCTGTTAAAAACGTTCTGCTGCCAAAATAATATTGCATTGGATCAGTGCTGCTTTCTGCCCCCTCCTTGCACTTTGATTTCCAATGACTCTAAGCTAAAGATGATCCTTCTCCTCCTCCTCCTCCTCCTCCTCCTCCTCCTCCTCCCCATTTGCTGTGCCTGATGCCTGCTTACAAATATAGTCAAAGCCAGCATAGTGTGATTTGTGTATCTTTTTTTCCTGGGCCTGATGTAGTGGTAGTGGGGACTTGAGATGAAGGGAAAGACACTGAGTCATCTTGACTGTTGGAACTTACATGCCAGGAGCTTTTGCAAGATAAGCAGCAGGAATATTTCTACCTACAGTGGCTTGATATGGAGAAAGAGGAAACGAGGGAGCAGAGCACCCCAATTTTGTTACAATTTCTCACTTTCCTAGTTTGGAGAGTAAGGAAGAATCAAAGTAATAGTTTTGCATGTTAAAGTGCCTAAGCAACTAATCAATTTTTTTCCTGCCCAAAGAAATGACAGAAATGCCCCTTCTTTAGCCTTCACCACTGCAGGGTTTGCCTTGTTAAGCTTTCCTGGTACATCTCAATATGTGTGTGAGTTGGTGCACATGAATGAATCCTTAAAAACCAAAACCAAAAACAAACAAGCAAAAAACACACCTTCTTTCATGATTTTTGGTGTGTAATTTGGCCATAGGTAATTGCCTAGAATGAAAGGATGTGGTGGCACTATGGGTTAAACTGCAGAAGCCTCTGTGCTGCAAGGTCAGAAGACCAGCAGTCATAAAATCAAATCCATCAGATGGAGTGAGCTCCCGTTGCTTGTGCCAGCTCCTGCCAACCTAGCGGTTCAAAAGCATGTAAATGCAAGTAGATAAATAGGTACCACCTCAGTGGGAAGGCAATAGCGTTCCGTGTCTAGTCGCACTGGCCATGTGACCATGGAAACTGTCTTCGGACAAACATTGGCTCTATGGCTTGGAAATGGGGATGAGCCCCACGCCCTAGAGTCGGACACAACTGGACTAAATGTCAAGGGGAACCTTTACCTTTACCTAGGAACCAGGCAGACACATCTAGCCAGCACACATCTTTCACTAGGCTTGAGTTACTATTTCACACTGGTGAAAAAGAAAATTTTATGTGGTGAGGACCCTTGCAATGGGATAATTAAGCATTTCTGTGCAAGTAAGAACTCAATGATTTTAGCAATGGAAACTGCCAGAGGCCTGGTTTAGAAAAATCCAAATCAACATGGAACAACATCCTTATGTAGTTGAGCCCACATTTAACAAAGTAAGTACTATGTGAAGATCAGGACACAATGAAATCACTATCAATATAGGAAAGGTGATAAGCCCACCTGATTCTCCTCCTGTACTTCCATGGTGTACTGATGTCCTGCCTGCACCTCGGTGACTTTCTCTCCCAGAAGGAAACCCAGGCGAGTCATGAGTGTATTTGCTGCCTCATCTACAGATGGTGGGGGGCCCAGCTCCTGCTCAGCTTCACCTGTACCGGGAAAGAAAAATGGATTATCAGCTGTATAAATTCTGCTTTATGCCACCAAGGCAGGTCATTATCCAATGTTTTCCAGGGATTTTCCATCCCAATGCACTTTTTCAATATTTAGGTGAATGCCTGTGAAATGAGTATAGTTTCTTTTCTCATCTTCTTCTAAGGGTAGTTTGATCAGTTCTGTATAAATTCTCTCATTGCATCTGTAGGACTGAAACTATCCAACCACCAACTGTAACTTAAGAGTTAAAACTAATTTTATAAATAGTCTATTTCTGGATTCATAAAAACTACCTGATTCTTAAATGTTACATAACATTTCACATGTTTATATGGCAAAATTTAGTTCCTAAATTCTTCTTAGAAAGGATTATATGGCACTGTTTTTAAGTCCTAGGAATACTTCCATAAATGTTAAATCAAGAAGTCTACATACATATACTTCTATGAGAGTTAATGCACTATACATTAGAAAATGCTATATATTTTTATTTAATTTTTATCTAAATATTTGTGCCTCATGTTTCAGCCCAGATATTTACAATCTTACAATTTTTAATGTAAGAGTTGGATTTAGGGAAACAAATGCAATTCCAGATGGGTGATCTATTTTGAACTTCCATTTTCTGAAAGGGGGCATGAACTGAGACTGATGGCACCTCAAGGTGGAAGCTCAGTTTATTGAAGCAATATTACATTACCTAGCAACAAGTCTAATAGAAGAAATCCAAGACCCTATTGTACAAGTTTTTTTGCATCTCTTGTCTTATTCTATTCAGTCTTAACACAAGCAATGGCCTCTTCTTTTTCTTCTTTTTTATCTTTCTTGAAAGTTGTTATATTGGCACATTAGCCAGCAAGTGAATGCTCACAGAAAAGACAGGTTGTTTTTCTCTAGAAGTATATTTCACCAACACCAGTAGTGTAGCAGTTGAGATTTCTTTATAAAAGAACTTACAAAGCAAGATACTGAGCAGGATGTAGTTTCAGCCTATGTAGATTCTGCTGCTTCCCCAAGTAACCTCTGCTGGATGTTGGAGAACAAATCCTGGAGTATGTGTTGTTGGCTGTGCACTCTGACAATCTGTATGTACTCTATCAATCACTCAAGTTAAGTGCTGAGCAAACACACTCTGTGTCTCTAACCAGATCTGGCATTATTAACTACACTGAGAAGACAGGCAAAGTATTTATTGACACAGGAATAGTCAATATTGGTTCATGGAAGAAGTCTTGCAACTTCAGGTTTAAAGCTCATCTATTGACTTTTAAACAACTGTTTTCTGAAAGGATTTCTAATGTATGTGGAAGTACAACTATTCAGTATGACTACTGTGGCTTGTCTTTTAAAAGTAAAAGAAAATAACAAAGCAGTTTTTTATAAATGTAATATTTTATGATGTTAGCGATCAATAGCAGAAGCCAATTTCACTGTGTAACCAATGCCATACAGATGAAAAGACATTGAAGGAAGAGATTTTCATAACACTTGTGGTTTCATGCCACTACTTAACAAGAGGCCTTGGCAAGTCTAAGATGAAACTGCAATATACTTGAATAAAGCATTCACTTCTGTCCCCCTATTCTTCTTTAAAAATCTAAAGCAACTACATGAGATGGATAAACATAGTTTGCTAAACTAATATACACTTTAAAAAATTCAGTGCATCTTCACACAGCACTCCGTAATGATGGTATGCGTTTTTATAGTACCAGATGAGTGAACTATGCATAATGTTGAAACAGAAGATAATATGTATCAACAGAAGACCAATTTCACTGTGTAGCCAAGTTCAGGAGTTTTTGTTACTAGTTTTATATTCCATTTTTCTCTGAAAATGGAACTCAATGAGAATTACAAGTATATTTAGGTATATACTCTTTCTCCGAAGTTAGATCTGTATTGCTCACATGTGACATGTGAAGCTACAGTATGATGCCCTGGGACTTGGGATATGCATTACAACCAATGAAACCCTATGCACAAGGCCTTTTCAGGACACTGAGAAGCCCAAGGCAGAAAGTTCATTTGACACCTTTCTCTGTTGCTCCTCCTCCTCATAAAACCTTGTGTGTTATTTCTTCTATCAGCAGGGAAGCAGGAGGGGACAAGAGTATGCATATAATACATTCAAAGACCAGCTATATTGACATCAGTATATGTAAGGTAGCATTTTATAACATTTGTAAAAGCTAGTACCTTACTATAAATTATTTTCAAACTACTGTGTGCTGTAGTCTATCATCTTCCCTTGCAGCAGAGGTTCCCAAATGTTTTGGCATCATAAATGTAGCAACCCCAGACCTACTGGAGTATCCCACCCTATAGTTATGCTGCCACCAACCATTCCCTGTAAGGAGTCACACAGACCAGGAATGGATTTTAATAAATAAAAGAACAAGGTTTATTGAAACAACAAACAGGATAAATAAAAGAATCAGGTAAATAGGATTCATGTCCCTCTCTTTGAATCTTTGAGAAACCTTTATACCTCTCTCTTCTTAACATCAATACCAGCAGCAATTTTAAAATAATAATTTAAAGTAAAAAAATGAATACAAAAACTTAGGAAAAAATTAAATTAAAAACAAGTACAAGCAGTTTTTGTACTTTACAGTTCATGAAAGTTCTAAGATAGAATGAAGGAGAAAGTTAGGTTACCCACCTATAACCATAATTCTTCTAGTGGACCTCTGTGAATTCACACAAATGGGTTTATCCTTCGCAGAAGGATACCTTTATAGTATTTAATACCTTTACAGTATTTAAATACCTACTTTATATGGCAGAGGTCCTCAACCTTTTTCGGTCCGCGGCCCGTTTTGGGGGGTGCGAGCTCAGTGCATGGACCGGTTGGGGGGTGGGGCACCCCCACATGCATGGGTGCGTGTGTCACGCTTGCTCGTGCGAAGAGTTGGTGTAACAATGTGCTACTAACTGTTCCCCCAGCGGTCCTTGCAGGAGAGCAGTGCCCCTTTCCTGCAGGGAAGCTGTCGTGGGGGAGCCCGCCCAGGAAGCGCCAACGGCCAGCCACTGGGCAGGAGCACCGGTGCATCCCACCACTGCTTCCTGCACGGCCGACACTTCCCGCAAGAGGAAAAGGAAAGCGAGCGCCGGCCAGGCGGCATCTGTTGTTGAGAGGTTCGCTTTGGAGAATCTCACACCTGGGGCGGGGCGGGGGGCTTGGGAGACACCTCGCAATGTTATGGCA